TCTTGGGGACTTAAAGAGGGACCCTAATCTAGAGAACTACCCATATACACACTCTGGGATGGGGTGTTGGCGGGCTTTGGGGCTTGTTTGATGCGTGGGACCAAGGTGAGCCAGAGGCTTTGAATGATATGAAAAAGGGACCCTAATTTCGAGAACTACCCCCATCAAACCCAAAACCCTAAAACCCTAAACCCTAAAACCCTAAACCCTAAACCCTAAACCCTAAAACCCTAAAACCCTAAACCCTAAAACCCTAAAACCCTAAACCATTTGAAGCAGGCCTTGTCTTGTCAACTGCTTGACTCGACTTCGGCGAAGGCTCTCTGCGAGGTGGAGTGGAAGAGAAGTAGTAAGTGGGGTTCTATAAGGGTTCCTATGAGGGTTCCTATAAGGGTTCCTATAAGGGTTCCTACAAGGGTTCCTATAAGGGTTACTATAAGGGTTCCTATAAGGGTTACTGTAAGAGTCTTCTCAGGGTTTTTAGGGTTTTGCTGGGGTATTAGGGTCTGCGGTGTTCTTGGTGTCTGTAGAGAAGGGTTGACATAAGGTTTATGCATCTATCTTATATATATATATATCTATATATATATATATGTGTGTGTCTGTGTGTGTGTGTGTACACGAGTTTATGATAGTTTTTCGCAGTTTTTATGCTTCTTTGATCTGTTTCTGTTAAGGGTGTTACGGCCTCATGAAACGGCCCCAAAGCTTCACCAGGGTTATAAGGACTTTGCAGGGGTTCAATCAGTTTTGGTGTTTTCGCGCGTGTTTGGACTGGGCTTTCCAAACCGCTTCCCAGCAACTTCGATCTCCACAGGTCAAAAACACCAGGCAACACAGAAGCCTAAAGGGTCTAAATGACTACCAATATTGTTCCTGAGGGTTCCTTATTTAACTATGTACGATAAAAGGAGGCCAAAACCCTACTCTACTCATTCAGGCCCCTACTTAGGGTTCCTTATTTAACTATGTACGATAAAAGGAGGCCCAAAACCCTACTCTGCTCATTCAGGCCCCTACTTAGGGTTCCTTATTTAACTATGTACGATAAAGGAGGCCAAAAACCTGCTCTGATCCTTCAGGCCCCCACATTGGCTCCCTAGCCACTGCTTGCCTTTCTGCCCTCCGCCAGCGCCTGAAGCCGGTCCTCCTGCGCGAGTGCAACGTGCTTCGGCCAATCTTGGTTTTTCCGGGTAAAATTCCCTAACCCTACATATGGCCTTAGGGGCTCTAGTACCCTGTATAGCATGTATTTGGGGGGTTAGGGATTCCCAGAAGGGTACGCTGCTCTTCTCATCAGGACCCAGGAGCGGCCGCATTTTGGAACACTGCGCTTAGCCACAATTGGAATGTGTGAGGATCATGCATAAAGCTGTAGCTAGATATGGAACACACGGAGATTCAGAGAGAGAGAGAGAGTGAGAGACTGAGAGAGAAAAACTGTGGACAAGCGACCAGAGACATGATGAACGATGCGACGCCCTTTCGATGAAAATAGATGCAAAGCCCCGCCATAAGCCTTACCAGAAGCGCTACCCCACAAGCTCTCTCTTCAAAGATAAACTTAAATCCCTAAACCCTACACCCTAACCCCTAAACCAAAGCTGGATGCCCCTTTTGGGATTTTTTTGGCAGTTTTTTCCCAGGTGAAGCCCGTGCCCGTGCCTGTGACGGTGGTGGGCGATGTGCATGGCCAGGTCAGGGGTCAAAGAGGGAGGACGGTTCAGGATTTAGGGTTTCGGGTTCAGGGTGGGGTTTATAGGCTTTATAGGCTTTATAGGCTGTATAGCGCTTATAGGGTTTAGGAAAGAGACCCTTGTTTGAGGGTTTGGGGTTCTAGAGGGGCGCCTTCAATCCCTCACCAAACCCCGAACGCAGCATCGCCTGTCTCAAAGGTCTTCGACCTGTTGGAGATGTTTCGAATTGGGGGACCAGCGTGGCACCCATTTTTGCTGATCTGCTGGGCATTTTTCGTGAGATGTTCAGCCAGCAGGGATCCAAAGGTTTCCATGATCTGGGGCTTAGAGTTGGACACGGAGGAGGAAGTCTATCCATCTATCCTTCCATCTATCTGTCTATCTACAGAACAGAACCCTTATAGTAACCCATATAGTAACCTTATAGTAATAGTAACCCTTATACTAACCCTTATAGTTGCCCCTTTTTTCCGATCCGTAAAGCCGTAAGCCATTCCCAGGTCCCGCACACGAATTATCTTTTTCTCGGCGATTACGTCGATCGTGGCCCTTTCTCGGTCGAGACGATTGTGCCAGTTCGGCATGCTTCAGTGGTGTTGGGTCGGCACACAGGCTTCCGGGGGTGGTGTTGGTCCGGACTAACTTTTACCTTGATTCAAGAAATTGGGGATGATTAGCATGGGTTATTGCCAAATTGCCACATGTTCGAACTCTCATCAGCAACTCACAATCAGGCACAGCATGGGCAAATGAGGATTCGTTATTTGTGCTGCACTTCTTTGCAGCATGTCTGTCGCCAGCAATCCTTACGGGTGTTTCCGCTGGTCCTTGCCTCAAGCTTTGGTGCGCGGACTCAGCAAAGTTTTGAGTTCTTCCGTGCGAGATAGCCTTGAGACCAATGCCAAAAGTAAAGGCACATGCCGGCAGCAAAGTATTCCGCCTAAACCCTAAACCCTAAACCCGAAACTGGGGTTTACGAAGACCTTGAACCCTGAATTCAAGAACTTTCAGGAGAACCGAGTCATGGCAGTGCATGGCGTGTCTCAGGTGGCTTGGCCACAAGATCTTTTTGCCTTCCGGCACGGTTGATCATGCGAGGGATCGGGACATATATTTGCCTGGTGCTGGCATTGCTCTTGGGCTTCTACTTAGCTCTCGCACCCTGGGACGATGTGGTGGACATCGCCTTAGCGGTGGACGGATTTCTCGGCCAGGCACCCCTCATGGATTCCAGGGAGTTCAAGACCACGAAACACCTAGAGGAGGTCGAGAAACCTTTGTGGATTCCGTTTTTGCCTTTCGCGCCTCTTACGAAGCAGAATGAGCTGGTTGCGCGTCACAACGAGTCTTTGCGGGATATGCCCGAAGACTGTGCCACTGCAGCGGCGGTAGACATCTTCCCCAACATCACCATCGCCCAGGCTTGCCGCGCATGGTGCCGAACGCAGCTTGGTCCAGGCAGCTCCCTGGCGCATGCTTTGAGCCCTGTACATTGGGTCATTGTGAAGCGAAGTCCAGTGTATTGGTTCAACGTGGACTACAGCATGTGCTTTAAGGCAGAGACCGCCTCATGGGCGCTCTCCTGGTTTCCTTATTTCTGGCATGCCTTCTTGGTCGCCTTGATCTATGGAAGCGTGAGTTTCATCACCTTGGCCCGCCGACTGCAGGAGTCTCCTGAAGAGTTTCTTCCTTTGGGGCCGAGCCCAGACGAGCGATCTGAGGAATTTAAGACCTACTTTGAGAGGCGCTGTGGCCTTGAGCTTTTCGCAAATGACCGTGCTGCAGAACGAACTTCGCTGATGGTCTCGGTTGGCTGTCTACTGCTGGAACCAGCTGGGGATGTCTTGGCAATCCTTGGGTATCTGCGGTACGGCCAGCCCATGTATGCCATGGTATCGACGTTCTTCGTCGTTTGTTCTTGCCTCCATGCATGCGACCTTTTCCAGATGAACGGGTCGGAAGCCATGGCACAGAGCTTCGCACGTGGCTTCGCGACGAAAGCATTGTTTCAGCACATGGTCTCTGAACTCTTCGAAGGTCTGGGCGCCACGGTAGTCCAGCTTTATGCTTTCCTCACCATGCGATTTTTCATCTGCGTGGAGGATCCGAACATGACCATTACCTTTGCCAATCTTTTGGTAAGCGCATGCATGTCGCTTACCACGACGCTGCCTAATGGCTCACAGTCACTTTGGCTGATCCTCAAAAATTCCGGCCCAGATTTCTTTGATAACTTCGGTGACGTGCAGGACAGCAAGAAGAAGGTCCCTGGCACGTGGAAGTACATGGCATCTTGTTCTTGCGTGCTGATTGCAGTCGTCGCTGCAGAGTCGTACCACACCTCCTACGAGAAGATGGTCCGCCACGTGGGATCATGCGGCTTAACACCATCAACGTCCGAGCTTCTCACAGGTTTGGCGGCGCTTCTCCTACTTCTCAGCATTCTCGTTCTTGTATGCTGTGGGCCTGTAATCATCGTGCTGTGTGCAGTTTGCCGGCCCTTTGCGTGGTGCATCGGCTTCTGCTTTGGCGGCTGCCTGAAGTCGGCAGAGCCCTGCGGAGCATGTGGAGCCTCGGACAGTGAGTCCGAGTCTAGTGACTCGGAAACCCTCACGAGCTTCGTCAAGGACCCGGACCCCTAGAACGTCTCGGCCCTTGGCAGAGGATTTTTGCCTTCGCAAGGGCATGTGATTCTCTCTCCTGTGCTGAAGAAGTCCATGTCCGAATACCCCACAAGGCCCCAAAGCCCGAATACTGTCGCCAGGCTGCTGGCGCTGCTGAAGCTCAGCCACCCAGAGCGAATCACGTCTGGAGCTCCAGCATGTGGATAGAGCCAAGCGTAAAGCTCGAATTTTCCTTGACGATAAGAGGCCCCAGATCATTTGAATATGGTCCTTACATGAAGCTTGGAAACCTTTGAGCTTGCAGGCTAGAACCATACGTAACACATGGGTTCTTCAAGAAAGCCACTGAACCCAAGGACTAGGGTTTAGGGTGTCGGGACTCATTAAGAGGCAGGCGTGGCTTTATGTGTCGCTTGGTGGACAGCTGCCACATCGACGGTGAACAGACCATGCAGCAACACGGTGGCGACATAAAGGCCGCTTCTAAACCGCTAAACCTCAAACCTTCAGTAAACCCTAAACCCTAAACCCTAAACCCCAAAAGCCTTTAGACTTTAGACCCCAAGCCAAGCCTATAGGCCTGAAGCGGAAATTCCCCAACCGCAAACTTAACCTAAAACTGATCACCTTCAGCCCTATGTCCCTAACATGCAAGAGTCTGGAACCCCCTGTAGCCTCAAAGCTCTAAGCCCGCTTAAAACTTTACTACATAAGTTACAGCCCAACATCAGGGTCGGTTGATGAGCGTTTACATCATATCTTGGTTCATTAGCTACAAGCAGCTTTATAACGACCCGATAGTCACCTTGCTTACGAGCTTTTAAGTGTAACCACCCTAAGCCCGACAGCGAAGCCCTGAGTGTCCTTAGATCCAGGCTACTGCGTGGCAACCATGAGAGCCGGCAGATCACGCAGGCGATGTGTCGCCAGGGGCGGTTCAGTGTTTGACGGAGGTCATGAAGGTAGTTGAGCGTCCGAAACCCTAAACTCTAGAGCCTAAACCCTAAACTCTAAGCTCTAAACCCTCAACTCCAAACCCTAAACTCTAAACCCGGAGCCCTGAACGACTTTCAGAGGGTCCTTTTTTGGGGGTGTCCTTGGGCTGTCGCAGGTTTCTGTTGTTACTTAGGGTGTCGGGTCTCTGCACAGCCAGGGTGCACCTCATACATTGGGGCTTTTCTCGGCCTGTGGTTTAGCTGAGTTGCTACTAGACTCCGCTCATGGTCCCTTACACTATATACCCCCAAAACCCTAATATCCTTGTTGAGGCTGTGGTCAGGCCTCTCACATGCCGCAAGAGCTTGCATCGAGCATCAAGCAGAGGTAGGGTTTCTCCGGGAACCCAATCTTGTTTCGGGTTTCAGGAACTGTGCATTGCAATTAGGACTCGGTAAGTGCTGCCAGGTTTACGGCTTCTATGCGGAGTGTGTTCGCAAGTATGGTGATGCCTCTGCCGGAATCTCAGACGTCCAAGTGGAGTTGAGCCGTGTTGGCCCAAGCTGATTGTAGAGGTTTAGCAATGGAAACTCAACGTGTAAGCAATGTGCATTCCGCATACTTATTCTGGCTTCAGCTCCAATCACCCGTTCTATTCAAACAGATAAGTATATAAATAAATGTATTCATATACATATATATGTATATATCTACACACACACAGAGAAAAATACATACATCCGTACTTGTGTTCATTCCTCTTGTCTGCCTGTTCGGAGTCTTACTCCTCAGGATTCTCTCACGTTGATCAACTGTTCGGTTCAATTGCTCGCTTCACCCATCCTCAACCTGATACTCACACCCACTGCCAGCATCTCCGAAGCTCAACTGGAGGCGTCGTTCAAGACGATCTGGGGCTTGCTCGGGGGTAGGTTCCATAATTACTTCCGATTCTGCCTTGCTGTTGGAGATTACGAGTAGTAGTAGCAGTAGTAGTA